ATATAATTTTATTACATAAATGCGAGTGCAAGTTTCATGAAATTGCAAATGCAAATAATTTTACATACAATATTAATATTACTCACTCTAGATTTCATTGTTGAGAATACCTGGTCTAATTTATTTTATTTAACACAGAATTTTAAAAATAATTCAATTTTAACTCCATTTTCGTTTGATTCATTCTTTTCTTGCTTTAATCGCCTTTAAAACGTTAAAATTTTGTATAAATTAACATTAAAAAAATAGTTTAATATATTTGTTTGATTTGTAAAGCAAGAAGTTTTGTTCACATTATTAAATTATTAGTCAAACAGAATAAAAATTGCAGTGAATAGTTATAAAATTTTTCTAAATAATTCTCCTCTAATGTAAACATGTAAACCCGTATATATATAAAAAAATAAAACTTAGAAATTTAATTGATCATGAAATTTCCTAAAATAAATTGTTTAATAAAGTATATTTTGTAATATTTTTATTCCTCATCTAGCAAAAACAATGAATATTCGCCGAGAATCAATGGCATCGTTCATATACCAGCAAATGAAAAACAATCACGAAATTTTTAAAAAAAAATTCCCTGTATATTTAACAAAAATTGATTTACTCTTTTCTTATTCAAATAACATCAATATATTTTAAATCTAGAATAGCATAAAATTACCCAGTTGAAAAACGCACAGTAAAAATATTATTTTTAGGTATGAAATGCTAGGGTCATATAGTTGCTTGAAATAATACATACTATATTTTCTCCAATTTGTTTGATCCAATTGTAATTTTACTTTATAAATTTCTGCTTCACGAACATTCTATTGATCCATTCGTTTAAATTTGTGATAAATCTTATATATTACTTTTATTTATGTATGGAAAAAAATAATAATTACAAAAAATTAGCAAATAATATTAAGCTTATCGAAAAGTAATGCATTTTATTTGCGACAAAAGGAATTTATTCACTTTTTCACGCGCTATTTAGTGAAACATCAAGTTCAAAAACTGTTTACGAAAATGTAATCACATTTACGCAAGATAATGCAATGAATAATGGCATTGTTGATGAATTGTGGAAGTTCTTTCTGATAGTTAAATTAAAGAATGCGTTTTACAATTGTTAATAACTGAAATTAAAAAAAAATCTTTCAAAAAAGTAAAAGTTCAATAATAAATATGAAAATATAAAGTCTAATGGCTAAAATATGTATATTCTTTCCATATATGAATATATATTCCATATATATTCTTTCTTATATCTAAAATATAGGTGTCATTTAATTACTCCAAGCATGCAAAAAAAGAACACATTTTAATAATTATAATGGCGTAATTATAATGGAGTAACTTATTTTTTCGAATGATTAAAATACAAGAGATATTTTATTCTTTCTTATGTTTCAAGTATAAAATTCATATTATTTTTCATTATATTATTACAAAATAGTTGGTGACATTTTATTTTTTATTATTACAGTATGCGATAATCATATTGTAATTAAAGTTAGTAATTACAGTATGATTACAGTCCTATCATTTAAATAAAATAAACTATTTATTTTAATGTAAAATAGTTTTCCTTTTTTCTGTTACACTAATAAAAAATATGGTTAAAATAATTAGAATATGGTAAAATTTGTCCTGTTTTTGGCTCTACGACAAAAAATTCAGTAATTTTTATCGAAGATCTTTGGTAATTATTTTTGTAAAATTAACGATAAATTTTCTTCTTATTGTGATTAAAATTTAGTAAATAAGCTAAAAGTTTGTAATTTTATTATGATACCTTAGAGTATTACTTAAAAACAAGTTATTCGGTTTACTTTTCAGTTTTGTAGTTTTAGATAAATGTGCAGAAATTAAGAACTATAATTTTGAAAACCAGAATTTCTGGTAAACTGATATAATTTGAGCTAAAAAACTACCAAACTAATAGTTTAAATACCGTATATTTTGATTATATAAACCAGAATTCTTCCTTCTTACCAAAAATTTTATTACTACGCAATACGATAATTTTACTAGAATTTTTTTTTCTCCGTGTATATATGAAAATAATATTAGTCACCTGTGAAGAGCGTAATCGAGGTTCGAATCTTGGTTATGGCTAGACTTGCTTTGATTAAAATGATATTAAAGTATTGTCAAAATTAGATAAATAATTTGTTAGAGCTCCATAGCTTTCGAGAAAACTACTTGGAGATTTCGTGTTTTCCATCTTCAGGTATCACAAGATCTGGATGGTTTTACCAGAAAGGTAAATTAGTTTAAATTATTTTGATACTAGTTCTCGCATCTTCTCTTCAAATTAGAAGTGGTTTTCAGGTTGCAAGATTACGCATTTTAAAATGAAACAGCTTACATTCATTATATTATCATTACTTTCAAAAATTAATGAACAAAAATTAACCAAATAAAGTTTTTAGCTTATTTTATTATTTTCATGCCTTATTGTTATAGTACATTTTTAACTATAATATTAATTTATCTATCGTAAATCGACAAAAAATCCCGCAATTGATATACGATCAATAAAACAAAATTTTTTCTCAGTTAGTTTTTTCTTCCCTAAATAACCTGTACATTTTCAATAACCCCGTAACAAATAATTAAGTTCCTTTACTTTAACGTAATGAACATAAACTTTAGAAGCAGAAAAAATGGTCTTTAATTGCAGAATGAATAAGTTTGTAAATGACCTGTTAACACGCAAATAAAGACTATTTTTGAAAGGTTCCAAAATCTACTATTTTAACGTGTTTATGAAAGGTAAGGTTATGGTTAATAGATTTTTTTGCACTGGAAAAAATGTATTTATGCTGGGAAAAATTTTTAAGTTTTTTAATTAAAAATAAATTAATTACCAAGCAAGCACGTGATCTTCGGTATTTTTTTATTAAGATGATTCTTTTCTAATATCATATTAATAAAATAGATAATCCTAGCTACGATATTCAATGTGAAACATAGGTTTTTTATTATATTCTGAAAACTTATCCGAATTATCTTAATTTCGCGTAAGGAACAAAATGAAGAACACTGTAAGAAATTCCTTTTCAAACTACAGTATTAGTTACCGTCACTTTGGTTGCATCATTCATAAAATCCATTTCACAGTACAATACATTTTTACAGTAAAATCGATTTTTACAGTAATTTTACAGGATTTTATAGTATCTATTACTATAAAAATTTCGGTGTATTGGATTTTCCGTTCTGTAAAATGTTCTAGTAAAAAAGAGACTGCCGGTACTTTTTATCGTAATTTGATTGGTTAATCTATGAACAAAAATCAATATTTTAATATAATGACTTGATTAATATTATATTAAGATAAAATTATCATACTACTTGCTTATTCGTTATTTCCTAATACGTTTAAAATAATTATAAATTCGTAATTTCATGGAAAATGTTAGAAAAAGGGATAAAGTTTATGTTTACAGCTATTGATATATTTAAGAGGGGAGACAGAGAAAAGTTGAATAATACTTTATATTTCCATTATGATCCAAGATAACCCCGTTACCAAACTGCATCAAAAATGCGATGATCACGGATACTCATTTGTGTAGTAGCATGTAGAATTTGGCACTTAAATTCATGCAAAGAAGAGAAAAAACTAAAACATAAGATAGCATTTTACCTTTCTTACGCAGTGGACTGATTGTAAAGAAACGGCTCAAAGTAGTTCCAAGAAGTTAAGCATCACTGGCTGTGGCAATTGAGGTGGTGGATGGCCACTTTGATCAGTCAGCGTAGGAACCGAGGGTACGAGGTATAAGTCCTCGTTAAACTATTCTGCCGTAATTAGCTCAACTTCTCTCACAGATGGTCAAGCTACAAAAATGGGGATAGCCCTCCACTTGACAGAGGATCGAAATTGTGATGACATGTTTTCGATTGATCCTTTTGGATGTTTCCCAGACTAATAATCCATTGTTCAACTCTAGTGCGGCGTAAAGAATTACTACTACTAGATTTAAACTTTTATATTGAAATGTAGGTAACTATATAAGTTTTTTTCCCTAATTAGTTTTATAGTTTTTTTTTAAGCATCAGAAGTACAAAACTTAGTAGAAGGCATAATTTGCATACTCTAATGAATAATTTTGTATTATTTAAACCTAAAGTAATTCTTTGGATATCAGCATTAAATTGTTGCAGTATTTTTGAAACAAAACATGTTTAGCAGTGAAAATTGACCAGGACTCGATGCTTTATGAGATATGTTTGTATTTTATTTCGAAATTTAAAAGGGGTATTACTATTATACAGTAACAGCAAGTCATCAAGGATTACTATTTTACTGCAAAAACATGGACAATAGAAACTTTTGTTCTGCAATTTCCATAAATATTTTAAAGTATAATCATTAATGAAGTAATACAAAAAGTCTAATTTTGAAAATAGATGCAAAATGTGAGACCCTAAAGATTACTTCATTTACATAGATCTAATCGAGTTAGTACATAATAATTATTGGGGAATTGTATCTCTTTAAAAATTACAATGCAGAATTGTGTAGCTTAAAATGTTTTTCTGTAATTCTATTTGCTTTTTAAAATAACGAAATCAAAATTTAATGCTATGAAACTTATATACCAGTTTTTTAACTCTTCTTTTAGTCATTGATAGCTAATATTTATTATATCCAAAAATTAACCGAACTATTTATTTTTTGATATATTATATTAATTACCTTTTCTTTTTGGAGAAAATGAAATCGAAAATATAGTATAACTATTTGATTAATTCAAGAAATCTTAATTAATTGTTCACTAAATAAAATTAAAAACATAGATAAATTAATGATTGCATTATTTTAAATTACAGTTAGCGAAACGTGTTGAACAATAAATACAATATCTTTCTTGAAGTCTAGTTGAGAAATAATTCTCTTTATATATTTTTCCGTCCATTGCGGGATTACGGGTAATGAAAATGCAGACTACTTAGCAAAAAAAGGGGCCTTAATTATTCAGACTTCAGCTCACATTATGCCCTTCTGTTCCAAACAGCTTATGAAGAGGACCTTTAAGACATGTGCTCATGAAGAATTTATCGACCGTACTTCTACTAAGTCTTGGAGGGATATCATCCTAAATTTGCGAAACGGCCCAAGACGAAGAGCGGTGGCTGAATTCCGCTTGACCACCGGTCATGACTGTCTGCGGAAACATCTGTCTAGATTTGGTATCGTTCCTTCCCTGGTATGCACTCTTTGCAGTTCTGGTGAGGACATGGACTCCATGCGCCTTCTCCCCAGCTCTGCACTTTGCGGGAATTCTATCACTGAACGCTATTGGGAAGCTAGAGACATGTTGTGATTAATAGACTCTTGTTGCAGCATCTTTTGTTTCTGTTCTTATTTTTAGATGTTTATGTATGCTGTTACTGTCTATAATCTGCCATTGGAAATAAGATAAATAAAAAAATTTCCTAATAGATTTTCTTGAGAAAATTCAAAATCTATCTGTAAAATAAATAATTTTTGAAATTTCCCGATTTGAACAATTAGAAGATTTTTTGTATTTACACTGAGTTAACAAAACACTTTGCGTTAATTAAATCGAAAATTATGCAGTGATTAATTAAAAATAATTTATTTACTCAGTGATGAATTATAAATAATTTTTAAAATTTCATGATGTAAACAATTGAAAGTTTTTTTTTATATGTACAATGAGTTAACAAAACACTTCGCATTAATTTAGTCGAAAATTATGCAGTGATGAATTAAAAATAATTTGTTTAGCCTGAATAGAAGTTTCAAACTTTAATACAATTTAATGTATTGATTAAAATCCAGATAAATTAAAACACATAAAGACTAATATTATGAATAATAATATGTAGACTAATATTATAACTGTTGTACTTAGTTGTGACTGTAAAAGACTAGGTGGTGGTGGCTTGACATATAATTACCAGCTTGCTTGAAATTGGTTGGTGCTCAAAACTAACCCGTGACTAACACTATCATGGTATTAGTCACGGTGATGTAGTGACTGTTGTTGTAGTTATCATGACCCCACAAGAGCACAAAGGAGTGTGTGGGAAAGCATTACTTTCTCTATCATAATTTTTTAAATAATTCAAAAAATTAATTATTTATTAATGTTTTTCTTTTGAAAATTTAATATCGCATTTTAACTTCATAAAGTAAAATTTCTGCAGCTCCAAAAGAATATCTTCATATTAACTTTAGATAAATCAGAAGAACTCTTATGATTGTTTAAAAACTTTTTGAGACTCGATAATTTTTCTTTCTTTTTCCTTTTATGGCTTTTCAACACCAAAGGATTATTTATTCTGAAGCCACTGTTTTATTAAAGCTGAACTTTGGTATAGATTATTTTTTTATATTACAGGTATAGGTATCATAATGAGAACATTTGTCTAAATATTCTTTAAAAAAATTTTATCAATAAAATTTTTAGTTTCTGCTTCGGTGTTTTTTTAAAAACCATTGTGATCAACCCTAATAAGAGTTTCTAAAAAATACGATTCTTCAGTCAATGCCTCTAAAGAAGCTCCAATTAAAATAAATTGTTTACTCATCGATAAAAAAATATTACTGTGAAATATTACTGTGTACTTTAAAAAATATTCTTTAAAAATTATATATTTTTAAGAATATGACTACAGAGCTTCAGATTCATGAAGTGATTCCTTTAAGACTATTTTATTTGCTGATTAAATTAATGGAAGCAATTTATAGGAGATTGTGATTTGAAGAAGGAATATATCAAAAGTAATTAAATAAAGTGTATTACAGTACAAAATTTAGAAATCGTTCTTTGTTTTTCGTTTAAATATAAATATATTTAACTATCTTATAAAAGCATTTTTCAAGTCTTCATATTTTAGCAAATGTGCCAAGATCCCAAAGGGTTTTTTAAAAACCTAAATAATTTTATAGATTTTGGAGATTAAAAATGCTTTTGAAGCATTAATTTGATATTGTTTTTCAAAAAGAAATCCTATTCCTCTTTAAGGGACAAAAAATAAACAAAAATTATGTTTAATAAAAAAATTGTAAAAAACACACTCTAATTGAAAATAATATTTTATTTATTAAGTTTAATGAAATATTTTCTTTTGATCATTGTCCCATAAGTGTTTTCGAAGTAATCATTGAGTCCATTCTTATGATATGCGGAAAAAAATAAACAAGACTTCCGCTTAAAAAAACATTTTGAAAACACATTCAAATTAAAAATAGTTTTATTTTTATTAAGTTTGACGAAATATTTTCGCACTATCATTGTCCCATAAGTGGTTCCGGCGAAATTAGTGAGACTATTATTATTTTATGGGATAAAAAAATAAACAAGACTTATGTTTAAACAAAATTGTGAAAACATAATCGAATTAAAAATAGTACTAAATTTATTAAGTTTGGAGAAATATTTACTATATTATTATCATTGACCCATAAGTGTTTAATGCAAAATCATTGAGCCTATTCTAATTTTATGGAATTAAAAAAATTAACAACATCGTAATAAAATTATTCTAAAAAGTACATTCAACTTAAAAATGCTACGACATTTATTAAGTTTGACGAAATGATTTTTTTCTATCATTGTCTCATTTTCTTCATTCATCATTTCCTTCTATTATTTCTTCCTGAGAAATCATTGTCCACATTGTGATTTTAAGGGAAAAATTAATAAATAAAATCTATTTTTGAAAAGCATATTCAAATTATAAATAGTACTATATTTACTAAGTTTGAGGGCCCCATTTGTATTTCCTAAGAAATCATTGTCTCTTTACTTATTTTATGGTATAAAAAAAAGTAAACAAAAACATCGTAAGAGGCACTTTTAAATTAAATATAGCACAAAATTTGACGAAATATTTATTTCTATCATTATTCCATAAGTATTTCTGAGAAATTATTGGTCTATCCTTATTTTAAAGTAAAAAAAAAATAAACAAAACTTTCGTTTAAAAATATTGTAGAAAACTCATGCAAATTAAAAAAAAAAAAACGCTTTATTCATAAAGTTTGGCAAAATTTTTTCGTTTATCATTGTGTTCCTTTTATTATAAGTGTTTCCTCAGAAATCATTGTGTCTTTTCTTATTTTATGGGATTAAAAAAAACAAGATCCACATTTTAAAAAAATATTGCAAAAAACATGTTTAAATTAAAAAATAGTATTATATTTATTAAGTATGATGAAATATTTTCTTTCCATTATTGTCCCATAAGTGTTTCCTGAGCAATCATTAAGATTGTTGACTATATAAAATTTTCCACTCAAAGTATGAGATTCCTTTTCTTTGACCCGAAAGTGGTCATTGGATCCTAATATGATTTCTTATTTTTAGCCACTGTCTTTGACATAGTACTCGTATATATATATTTCCCTTTGAAGTCCGAATTTAATGTCAAAGTGATTACTTTAAAAAGATACTAGAGGAAATGTAGCGATTCTAAATTGCTTTCTCTGCTTGGATTTCGGTTTCACTTGACAGTAAAAATTGAGCATGATTTGGCTTAAGGGAGTAATCTTGCTTTAACCTCAATACCAGTAGTAAGAGAATTTATCTTTTAGGATATTTCTGTCACTTTAAGGTAATAAAAGCTCTATTAAACGCGATATACTCTAAGAAACTTTTTTTTCGTCTTTCCTCCAAGCCCTGGTCATGTACCTAGGTTACACAAAACCCTTAGCCATATAGCCCAGGACTTGACCACTAGTTCAGTTCCACTCAAGCCAGGGAACGGGTCCAGTCAGTGGTATTAATTTTGAAATTTTGACATGAAACATTTTGTACTTTACATGATATTTAAAAAAAATTAACTGAAAGTGAAGAAGAAAAAAAGACAAAGACATTTAGAAGTAGAGAAAAGACGAAGAGAAAAAAAATTATACATCTGAAATAAGAAACTATTAAAATTTTAATAAATAGTCATTATGTGCTAAAAAATTCATTACTGTTATTAATTTTTTGGTATTAAGTATTGTTTATAATGAAATTTTTCTGCCAAACTTCTAAATTTGTTGGGCTAGGCAGACAAGTATGCCAGGAGACAGTATAGGAACAGCTAGTTAGGTAATGTTCAGGTGAACCTTGTTGGCCCCAGGTGCGAGGATCAATATCTGTTATATGTAGGTAATGAAAGAAGGTTGGAAATGGTCCGTGACCCGTCAGGAACCAGATGACTTGTTTTGGAGGAATTGTTTTGAAAAAAAGTAACGTTATTAATAATTTTGAATAGACGTCTTCCTCTGTCTGAATTATTCCATTGAAATTGCCATTTTTTAAAAAGAGAATCTTTAATACTTCGTTTAAGATAGGAAACTGGAAGTGGATATGTTGTTAAGCTAAATCATCTGCTTTTTCATTACCTACTCTATTGCTGTGTGCTTTAATCCTGGAAATTTTTATTGATGCGTGTTGAACTTCTTGTTAAATATTAAATGAAATTCTATTATTTGTGCCAAAATCAAGTATTGATGATATTGATGATATATACTCTACGAAACTATAGTTTCTTGTTGTTATATCTTATATCCAAAAAAATGATGAAGGTATTTGTAGTGAAGCATTCTCGCAACAGCCTGCTGTGGGCCAGGAAGATCACGAAGCTTAATGCTCCATATTTTCGTGACTTATTACGTGGTTGTGGAAATGTAGTCGGCATTGTGCACAAGTCACATTGAATTCCAAAACAAGCTGGTGTTTATCGATTTGAAGCTGGGTGGATAATAGAACCACTGTCAATCTCATAAAATAAAACAGTTCTATTAAACATATTCTACAGGTCTTTAACTTAAATAAGCATCATAAAGGAGTTTTATTAATTTTAGTAAACGATGCATAAACTCTGTTCATTTATTTTTATTCAAATGTATTTTGGATAAGATATTTAGAATATTTCTAAGACTTTCAGACAATAAAAAAAAATTATTAAAAAGGACACATGCTGCCATAAAATATAATTTGTTGCATATTTAAAGAAACATATGTCTTTCCAAAATTACTTTGCAGAGTACCTTATATTATTTCTTTTGAAAAATAAGTTCTTGAAGGGTAGGCTATTTATTTTAGTAAAATATGATGTTCTACTTGATATTGTTGATTCTGACTTATTCAAGTTTTGTAAATACTTCTTGTAATCTATTTGTTGTAACATTTTATATTTTTTAATGAATATTAATGATAAATCTATATATAATAGAAATAAAATTCTGCTAGCTTGATCACGTGAGAAATATAAATTTTGAAAAAACGGAATACAGTTTTGTTGTGAATTTAACAAACAAGAGGTGAGTTAAAAACGATTAATCAGCTTTGACAGTTATTTT